CAGCGGGGGAGGAGAGGACTGCAGAGCCCAGTCCAGCCCAGGCAGCCCCTCCTCTCTCTTCTGGCCCCACTTTACTGGTGGAAGGTCCCAGAAGCTCTGAAGGAGGACTGGTGCAGAGACCTGAGCAAATCGTCTCCTTTCAAACAGCATCTCCCACCCCCGTCCTCTCACCACCCCAGGCCCGCCCCCCTCCGTCCGCACAGGGGCTTCCTGTGTGATTTGTCTGGATGCTATGCTGTGACTATGGTCCTGGGTTTTCCTGTTACTGTATTTACTGTAATACAGCCTGGTCACAGTGCTCAAGCAGAGCTACATCGATGCCATTTTACACGTTTGTTATCGCGAGAAATAATTATGTGGGGGGTAACACATATATGACTTACAACCTGTACTTATATGTATTTCAAGTCACTGTCACTGCCGTAAGTCATTTTGTTTTGTTTTTTCTCTGTGTTCTGAAGATCCACCTGTGACCTGGGGCCCAGCCAGCCGCAGGCGATGAACAGAAAAGCCACCTGAGCACCCTTAGGCCCGACAGGCTGCCTCCAGGCCTGGGTCACAGGACTCACCCTGTGTCCCTGCACCTGTGGCTACGCGGCATCTGTGACAGGAACACACCCACCAGCAGGGCCCGAGCCCAGCGGACCCTTCCTGAGCGCCCACTGCTGTGGGTCAGGAATTTTGACGACTTTACCAAATAAAATCGATTTTCAAATCAGTGAGAGGGTGGTCATTGCACCCGTTGCACAGAGGAGGGCACTGAGCCCCGAGAGGCGTGCAGGGCAGACGGGCCGGGCCTGGGCTGGGTCTGCTGCCCCCACGCCCTGCTCTCCGGCCCTGTCCCTTCTGCTGAAGGGATGCACCCGCCCCCCATACCTGTGCCCTCTGCCCGTCGTATTTGTACTCGCAAGTGAAGGCTGCCTCATCGAAGCGCTTCAGGACCTCGCTGACGCCCCGGGTCGGGTGGGCCAACATTGGTTTCAGGGGGACCCCTGGGAGGGGAGGGGAGGGAGCGTTAGGGAAGAGGGCCAGAGGGACCACTAACGGTGCGACTGCTGACTGCACACAGCGGTGCGTGCAGGGTCCTGGTCACACCCACAGGACCCTGGCTGTCCCCTCTCTCTTTCCGTATCTAGGACGGAGACGTCAGCCATCTGTGACCACGTGCATCCGGGTGACAACCTTGGGATGACAGGGTGGCAGGAGAAGAAACCTGGGTCCCTGGGGATCCCAGAGCACAGCCGGCTGCCCTCCCTGGCCGCTGCCTTCCTCTGGACTCGTGTGTGAGATTCTGTCCGGCCTGACCACTGCCCCTGGGGAATCCTGGCGACAGCAGCCTCCTCCCCGACCACGCAGAGCGGAGCTCCCGGGGGAAGGAATGGGTCTGGGCCCCCGGAACACTCCACCCCAGGGACAAAGAAGATTCCGCGGGTTCTTAGAGGAGTGACCCTCACAGCCCCCCGGAGGCAGAAGCCAAGGCCCAGAGGAGGGAGAGGAGCCTAAAGGAGGGGCAACCCCAGCTCCGACCCAAGCCAGCGGTGCACAGGGTGAGGCTGTGGTCAGGCCTCCGAGGCCCCAGGTGGCTTATACCTGGACTCAGCTTGCAGTGCTCCGGGAGCCCCTCCAGGCCATGCTCCAGCAGCACCGGGACGATCCGGTCCAGGTCAGGCACCTGGCTGGGGGGGTGGGGGTGGGACAGGGTGGGAGGTGTCCTTGCAGAGCTCGAAGGTCTGGCAGCCTGGAAGCTCTACTCTCAGGCTGCAAGAGTCACCTCTGCCTGCCTGTCCCCTGTCCCCTGGTCGGCCCCCACCTCTCCCTGACTCCTGACTCCTAGCCCCTGGTCGGCTCCCCTCTCCCTGACTGCTCGTCACCCTGCCTCTGCTATCTGCCCCCGTCCTCCGTGTCCCTACACATCCCTCTGACCCTATGTCCCTCAGTCTGAGCTGCCTTCAGCCATCTGTCATCTTGACTGCACTAGAAGCACTCAAGGATGTTATAAAGCAAAACAAAACACAGTATTTCTTCCAGGCCGGGCTCCACCTCCCAGAGGTGCCGATTTACTGGTTGGGGGGAGGTGGGGGGAGAATGAGAGCACATCTGCAATCCCCATGTGCAGGCAGACCTGAGACCCCTGCCCGGGCCTGGGGGCTCTGCAGGGCTGCTCACTGCCCGGGGCCCAGCACCCTGTGGTCCCGGCCCAGAGCAGGTGCCCCGAGGGCACGTGTGGAATTGCTCATCGGCCCTCCTGCCGCTGCCACTCTCTGGGCCTCTGTCAGGCCGCACGTATCTGACCCCTCGCTGTGCTGGTCCCCAGCAGCCCCCGGGTCTCACCAGAACGTCTGCTTCAGGATCATGCCTTGCTCCTCCAGCCACGTCTTTCTGGCTTCTGCTGTCTTGCCCTTCCCAGCATCCACCACGGCCGGGGGGAATTCTAAGACAAGAGCCAACAGAAGAAGCTTTGGGATGCCCACCCCCCAGCCACCCCAGGGTCCAGCGGGTGGGGTGCTGCAGACAAGGAACGGAACGGGTGCCGGGGAACTTCCCTCAGGGAAGGTCTAGAGTGGCAGCAGGAGGCAGAGCCACCGGGGAGGGGTGTGTGGGCTTCAGAGGAGGAGGAACGCCTGGGTTAACTCAAGGGGTGGGCACTGGACCCCATGGGGGCTCACCTTGGCCTGGAGGCGTGAGGCTCACGGCCTGGGCGAGGGCGGCCAGCACCGACTGCTCTGCCAGCCCCAGGCGCAACCGTCCACTCAGGGCTCTGGGAGAGAGCGGGTGAGGGCAGTGGGCTTGCGCACACCTGTCCAATCCTGCCCCCCACACCTTCCTCTCCTCCAGGCTCCCCCACCTCCACCCTTTGGAGACCTTCTCTTCAGACACCAAAACCAGCTTCAGAGCCAGAGGGGCCCCAAACACCACAGCCCCCCTTAACAGGTGAGGAAACTGAGGCCAGTAACAAGCACCCCTGGCACTTCCTGGGGCAGAACCACGTGCCTCCCAGGTGTCGTAGCTTCTCATCTCATCTGGGAGTGGTGAGGCTTTCTGGGGAGGAGGAGGGGCAAAGCCAGCCCGGAACCAGAACACAGCCTGCCGCGGTGGTGACAAGTGTGTGATGGGCAAGGACCTGTCGCAGGCAAGGCCTTCACCTGAGCCAGCGGCCTGGAGTGACCTGGAGCGCGGGGCTAACCCTCCTTTGCCGCCCCTCCCCTCTGCAATCTGGGGGAGGAAAGCGCCCGCCTCGCTAGCTGCAGGAGGCACTGAGATGGGACGGCATGTGGCCCAGGACCCGGCACCAGAAACGCTCCAGGATGTCAATGGCGTTTCCCTGTCATGGCAACCACCTGGCCCCCAGGCTCACTG